GTTGTTATTATGTGCCATCGAGTTGGACCCGACTCATAGCGACCGCTCCTTGGGTTTCCAAGGCAGTATCACTATGGAAGTAGATTGCCCCATCTTCCTTCCAAGGAGTGGCACGTGGGTTTGAACCACCAGCCTTCTGGTTAGCAGTCAAATGCCTTTGGCACTGTGCTACCAGAGCTCCCGTAATAATAAAACTATTAGTGAATATTCTTTACGTTTTTCATGCTATACAGTATATGCTCATGACATATTGTTGTTAGATGCCATCTAGTCAGCTTCAACTCATAGTGATCCTATGTACAATGGAACAAACACTGCCCGGTCCTGCACCATCCTCACAATACTTGCTATTTTTGAGACCAATGTTGCAGCTACTGTATCAATCCACGTCACTGAGGGTCTTCCACTTTTTTGCTGACCCTCTATTTTACCAAGCATGATATTTCACAGAGAATGGTCCTTTCTAACAACATGACCAAAATAGGTGAGAGGAAGTCTGGACTTTCTTGCTTCTAAGGAGAATTCCAGTTGCACTTCTTCCAGGACAGATTTGTTAGTTCTTCGATAGTCCATGGTATTTTCAGTATTTTTCACCAAAACCAACACCACAATTCAAAGGCATAAAGTCTTTTTAGGTCTTCCTTACTCATTTTCCAGCTTTCATATGCATATGAGGCAACTGAAAATGGCTTAGGTTAGGAACATCTTAGCTGTCAAATTGCTACCTTTGTTCCTTAACATTTTAAACAGTTCCTTTGCGGCAGATTTGCCCAGTGCAATATGGCATCTGCTTTTCTGAATGCTGATTCCATGGGCATTGATTGTGGATCTAAGTAAAATGAAATCTTGACAACTTCAATCTTTTCTCCATTCATCATGATGTTGCTTATTGGTCCAGTTGTGAGGATTTTATTTTCTTTATATTGAGGTATAATCCATACTAAAGACTGTAGTCTTTGATCTTCATCAGTAAGTCCTTCATCTTCTTCACTTTCAGCAAGTAAGGTTATGTCATCTGCATATCCCAGGTTGTTAATGAGTGTTCCTCCAATACTGATGTTGCATTCTTCTTCCTACAGTCTGGCCTCTCAGATTACTGGCTCAACACACAGTTAGAATAAGTACGGTAAAACAAGAAACCTTAATGCACACCCTTCCAAATTTTAAACCATGCAGTACTCTCTTGTTCTATTCTGTTATAGACATTACATGATATAGTTTATTAATTTATTAGCTTAGGCTACTTATCATGTATTATTTTCTCAATAATCCTAATGATCAGGGAAATATTTTAAAACTTCAGACAAAGAAATACTAGAATAGATTGCTTATCATAAAATTGTTACCTTTCACCTTTCTGTAATATCCTTTCCACATTTCTAAATATACATATAAAGTAAGTAAATGGACTTTTCCTTGACTGAATACTATGAAAATTATGATGAATACCTCCTAATAAAATTGAGAGATTTTAATAATTAATGATCAAAATCTATTTACATAATAAGACTCACTATGGAGTTACACATTCAGACATTTAAAGATATGGCTTTTTGAAAAATAGAGTAAATATACTGAACCACATTGATCTCTCTTTTTCTTGCAATATTCAGAATAAATTCACATATTTACTTGTACTCTAAGAATAAACAACTTGTCAGAATAGCAGAATGAGTTCAGGAAGAAATTTTCAGTGCTGTGCTCCAAACACATAATATAATATATAAAACAATAAAAAGATAAAACTGCACACAAAAACAAGATAATATTGATATAGACTAGGAATATATTATGTCATAGTAAAAGAATAAAGTACAGATTCTGGTAAAATATAAAGATCCATTTTTTTTAAACATATACTACATTTTCCCTCAGATAAATGTAATCTAGTTCTTGGTTCAATATCAAGCATTTTAGAGCTGAGATTCATTATTTTCTTGGCAAACTTCAGTTTCCTGAATATTTCTTTCTGAAGCAGAAGGAAAAGCATAGTTAAAACTTCTAATAAAATGCTCTTAATTCTTGACATCAAAACTTCTTGCCAAAAAGCAAGTAAAATACAAAAAAAGAGAAAAAATTAAAACCAGAGACCTATGGATCAAATATAGTGAACCAGATATAACTTAAAGAAATAATGACATAAAGAATACACAAAAAGTATGGAATGAACAGAACAGTTCTGAAGAGGAGAAATTATGCCAAATTTTAAATCTGCAATTATAGCTGAAAGCTTTGCTTAAAATAGACAGAACACATAAAGGACTCCATACACATATACTCATACTTAACCATATATTTTCTCTTCAACAATAATTTTCATCTACTTCAAAAGGTGGTGAGATGCTCCAAATATGGGACAAAGACAAAGGCTATTTTATTTAATAAAAATTCTGAAAGTTTAAATTGGAAAGAGTACAGATTTTCTCTGTAAACTTTTGATTAAATTTGATTATTAAAGAATGATTTCACTTTAAGTGGGCAATAATGTAAAATAAACATAACCACCAATTCTGATTTGCACTAGTGTGACTATGTGTGACTTTGTGATCTAATTCAAATCCAATCAGAATCAGCTTAATCAATCAACTAATTTAATCAATATCAGTATGCTTCCATCATCTCAGTTAGGTACCTTCCTATGTCTTTGTCCATTCATTCTGCCTTCTACCTTGTCACAATAAGTTGTATCCATGCTCCCAGCTAACATAATCCTTCCACTTATCCACTGGATCCCATTCTCGTGTACCTACTTAGAGCCAGTATTCCAGCATTTCTTGTTGTTGTTGTTATGTGCTGTTGAGTCAGACCCGACTCATAGCGACCCCTCTCGGGTTGCCAAGGCAGTGTCACTACGGAATTAGATTGCCCAACTTTCCTTCCAGCAATTCTTACCTCTGTCTATATTGTCTTAGTAATTTCCTCTTTCTCGTATTCATGTCCATTAGTATACAAGCATGACGTTATTTTTCTCATCAAAAAGAAAAAATCTCTTCTAAACTCCCCTCTCCTGTGAAGCTGATGCCACATTTATTTACTATTGAATGAATTGCTTACACTGTCTCATTTCCAATTTTCTCTTCACATTCTCTTTGAACCTATTTTCTCCTATTCTCCCTCCACTTCAATGAAAGCTTTTTATTGAGGTCCTCAGTAAATTTTATGTTGCTAAATCCATCAATCCTAACTTTTCCTCTTGCTTGCCTAATCTGAAATACTTTTCCTTGAAACAGTTTCTTCACTTGTTTTCCAAGACACCACAGTTAACAGTACTTGCTTCCTACCTCCTGCCTCCTCCCCCACAATATCCTTTGTTGGTCTTAAATCTTCCTGACCTCTACACATTCAAATGCACTAAGGTTGAGTCCTTGGACAATTCATTTCTCTTCTCTTATTCCTTTAATATCTCATCCAGCTTTAAGTGCCATCTGTACTTACATCTTAGCAACGACCACTCCTCCAAACTCTAGACGTGCATATCAAACTCCTTACTCAATTTCAAAACTAATTATTTCTAAAACTGTGTTCCTAACCTTCTTCTCACAGAATTCTCCATCTCAATCCAATCAATTGCTTTGTACTGAACTGAAGTTCAGTCTGAAAAAGGGCCATTACTGATGACTCCTTTCTTTCTCCCATGCCTAATACACCCACTTCATGAAAAAATCCTGTGGCCTCTAAATATATGTGGAATCTGCCTGTTGCTCATCACATCCACTGCTATCACTCTGGCCTAAGTCTGTCTCATCTTTTACTCAATTGTTAAACAAACTTCAAATCTGTTATATCTTCTTCTGAATTTTAGAACCCAAACTAATCCTATTCAAACTTAAATCAGATCATGTTAATTGACTGCTTAAAATCTTATAACAATTTCCAATCTAACACAAAGAAAAAGCTATCATCCTTACAATGTGCTTCCATTATCTCTCTGATCTCATCTCCTAATCCTCCCACTCTTAGATCCTTGCAGTTTGCCCATACTCCGACCTTGCTGTTGCTTAAGCATAACAGGCAAGATCCCACACCAGGGCCTCTGTACTCTGTACATAATTGCTTTTTCTGCCTGTCATCTTCTCACTGAGGCCTTTCCTGGTGTCTTGGCTAAAATCACAAACCTCTCCCTACCTCCAACCTGACACTTTCTATCATCCTTCACTGAATTCTTTTTCTATTTAGCATTTACCACTATCTAAAATATTTTATGGGAGCCGTTGATTCATTTTGTTTACTGTCTCTTTCCCTGACTAGAATCCATGAAGGCAGAGATTTGCATGCTTCACTCTCTACTGCATAAAAAGTCCATGGTATAAAACTGACACTAATAAATATTTGCTAAATAAATTAATCAAACATTGATTTCTGAGGATCGTGGTCTTAAGTTAGAACCATCTAAGTATAGGGTAAGGTAGGATCTCCTGCTTCCACTACCCCTAGCAAATCTATAAAACTCCAAAATAATAACAACCCATGTGTTTAAAAATCTGCTTGCTATTTGATCTGAGGGATTTATTAAGAATCAGGCACATTAAACTGAACTAATATTTTTTCTTCTCTTCTCCCTTATCTCATCCCAACCTATTGCAAATTATTTTGTGATTAGTGAGAGAAGAATTAGATTTTAGAATAATCTAAGGCAATCTAAATCACTCTGCTCCATTGCCCAATCTGTAACTTTGGCTAAATAAGATCTCAAACATTAAAGGCAGCCAGGGTTGAGCTGGTGATATTTATTTAGCATGAAGGCATATTATTGCATATGCATCCTTGCTTAACAAGGAACAGTATACCTTATTTTGGTTGTACATGCTTCCCTGTTTTATTGTTCCTGCATTTCATAATAAATACTTATTTTTAACATTAAGAATTTAAGGTTTTAGACTAACATCAAAGAATTTTTGCAGGAAGCTTTGTTCAGAACATTTTTCATTATGGTTTCTTGTCATTAGAGTAATACACGCAAGTGACATATTCAACAAAGAAAATGAGCATATTTATCGTACCTGGAGCTAACAGAGAAGGATCTGGCCGGTTTTCATTTTCCTCATCAGTATTTGCATCATAGATTGCATCTCTGCCAACACTCACTTGAGAACAGGTTGCAGTTTCCCTGGAAACACAGAAAGGTAGCCTTATAAATTATTGGCTCTCTCCTGGCTAGGTATCAAATTAATCAGTAAGTAATTATAAAAATTATGTCTTGAAAAAGATTCTAATGAAACACACATATACTAAAATATGTAAGAATTAGAAGAAACAACTTTAAAAATGATATGTTAATGAGTTTCCCTTTCATGTAATAATGTGGTTTAATGTTCACTATAATTAATTCTTGAATCAGTCCCTAACACATATAATTCCTCTATCAAAATACTACTCTACCAAATTATCTTCTGTGGGTCAAGGAATGTTTAGCATTTATTGATCTCAAAGCAGTTCTACATTTCATTTGATCCCTCCACCCCTAAATCCTAAGAGATAGGAACCATCATCCTTATTTTGAAGATAAAGTGAAGTACAAGGCTGTAAAGGACTTACACACAGTCATGTATTAACAGATACATTAACAGATATCAGTGTCAGCAGCATCTGAAGTATGACCATCTGATACTTACACACAGTCATGTATTAATAGATACATTAACAGATATCAGTGTCAGCAGCATCTGAAGTATGACCATCTGATATCAAATGTTATGTTCATTAGCAAATCTGTGTATCCTGTCAGATTCTGAGCAATAGACCCTAACCTACATCTACTTATCCTTGAGAAAATTATAATTGTCCACAACTATATCAGCTACAATCGAAAGCTTTCTCTTTTCCATGAGTAAGGCTGGGTTTACTCAGATGTTGCAGCTCTTTCCCAGTCCTATTTTGCGAGCCTTTTAGCCTAAATGGACTATTCCTAAAGTTGCATGGTAATGTACCAAACAGTGTTTCTTTGCTATTCATAAGGCTCCGGGAATTGATGGCATACCGATTGAGATATTTCAACAAACAGATGCCCCATTGGAGGCACTCACTCAGTTATGCCAAGAGATTTGGAGGACAGCTACCTGGCCAACTGACTGGAAGAGATCCATATTTGTGCCCATTCCAAAGAAAGGTGATCCCACAGAATGTAGAAATTATAGAACAATATCACTAATATCACATGCAAGTAAGATATTACTGAAGATAATTCAGAAACGTTTGCAGCAGTATATTGATAGAGAACTTCCAGAGGTTCAAGCCGGATTCAGAAGAGGACGTGGAACAAAGGATATCATAGCTGTTGTCAGATGGATCTTGGCTCAAGGCAAAGAATACCAGAAAGATGTTTACTTGTGTTTTATTGACTATGCAAAGGCATTTGATTGTGTGGATCATGACAAATTATGGACAACATTGAGAAGAATGGGAATCCCTGAGCACTTGATTGTACTCATGAGGAATCTGTACCTTGACCAGGAGGCTGTCGTTCAAACAGAACAAGGGGACACTACATGGTTTAAAATCAAGAAGGGAGTGCGTCAGGGTTGTATTCTTTCTCCACACTTATTCAATCTATATGCTGAGCAAATAATCCGAGAAGCTGGACTATATGAAGAAAAACGTGGTATCAGAATTGGAGGAAGAATCATTAACAACCTGAGATATGCAGACGATACAACTTTGCTTGCTGAAAGTGAGGATGACTTAAGGCACCTACTGATGAAGGTTGAAGAATACAGTCTGCAATATCGATTACATCTCAACATAAAGAAAACAAAAATCCTCACAACTGGACCAATGAGCAGCATCACAATCAATGGAGAGAAGATTGAGGTTGTCAAGGAATTCACGTTGCTTGGTTCTACAATCGATGCCAATGGAAGCAGTAGTCAGGACATTAGACGACGTGTAGCACTGGGAAAGTCAACTGCGAAGGAACTGTTTCAAGTGCTGAGGAGCAAGGATATCTCCTTGAGGACTAAGGTGTGCCTGACACAAGCCATGATATTTCCAATCGCCTGGTATGCATGTGAGAGCTGGACAATGAATAAGGAAGACCGAAGAAGAGTTGATGCTTTTGAGTTGTGGTGCTGGCAAAGAATGCTGAAAGTACCGTGGACTGCTAAAAGAACTAACAGATCTGTCCTGGAGGAAGTGCAGCCAGAATGCTCCTTGGAAGCAAGAATGGCCAGACTTCGTCTCACCTATTTTGGTCATGTTGTAAGAAGGGACCATTCCCTGGAGAAGGATGTCATGCTTGGTAGGGTGGAGGGTCGACGAAAGAGGGGGAGGCCTTCAGGGAGATGGATTGATAACAGTGGCTGCGATGATGGGCTCGAGTATAGCAGGGATTGTGGGGCTGGCGCGGGATCGGGCAGTGTTTCATTCTGCTGTGCATGGGGTCGCTATGAGTTGGAAACGACTCGACGGCACTTAACAACAACAACAACATATCAGCTACATGTCATTTATAAGACTTTCTTGAGAGTTAAATACACATATGGTCCCAGAGAAAATAAGAGATGCAAACAGCATTTGGGATATGGAAAAAGTTCAAATAAAATTAATGTTCCCAGAAATTTAACATTAACACCTTGATTGCACAGTTAACCATTGCTTTACAAATGTGAATCTACCTCTGTGGTTTTGCAAAACAGTAAAGCTATTTTTAAGTATTAATATATTTCTTAACTATTTCTAAGAATGGATCAAGCAATATTTAGATAAATCTCGTGCCAATTACATGATTTGAATATCAGTGTGACAGCTGGACAGACATGGAGGGATGATGCTGAGAGTTCTCCAGACCCCTACATCCCTTCCCAGAAGAAAGCATCCAGCTCAGAAAATCAAATCATCTCATATTACACGAAAAGCTATCACCTAAATTTCATTAAGTTTTTTTTGAAAATTCACTTAAATTTATGCACCTATCATCTAAGGGCAGAAATGTGAAATACCTGTCATGCTTAGTGCTCTTCTCTAGTTCTTGAACTTCATTTAACAATTTATGTAAGCTTCTGATCTTTGCTTTCTTCTCATTCAGCACCAGAATAAACCGTCTATAAAGATCAGTCTCCAAAGTTTCCTTAGCATTCACACATTTATCAAATCTAAAATAAACAGATAGATAAATAAATAAATCACATATTTTTTGCTATCATTAATACTATTCAGTAATACTCTAGCTGATTTCCAGACATTTGTGCAAGGAAGATCCAATTAAAAATTATTTTTACAGAAAATTACATTGATATAAAGCAAATAATTAGAACTTATCGGTTAGTAACATTAATAATTTATGTATTTATATCAGTAATTGAGTTCTGATGGCGTAGCAAGCAAGGCATTTGGCTACTAACCAGAAGGTCAGCGATTCAAACCCTCTGTGGGAGGAAGATGGGGTGATCTACTTTTATTAAGATTTACCACCTCAGAAACCCAACGAGGGTCGCTAAGACTTGCAATCAACTCGATGGCAGTGTTTTTGTTTTTTTTTTTTTTTTTAATATCAGTAATTATGTGATGAGGGTTAAAATGGAAAATTGGTATCAAAAAAAAAGCACTTCTGAAAAATCAAAGATGCCTTAATTTAATCATTTATGTACATCTATGTTGTTGTTGTTGTTGTTATGTGCCGTCGAGTCGGCCCCGACTCATAGCGACCCCTCCTTGGGTTTCCGAGGCAGTATCACTACGGAAGTAGGATTGCCCAACCTTCCTTCCGAGGAGTGGCTGGTGGGTTTGAACCGCCAGCCGTCTGGTTAGCAGGCAAGTGTCTTAGCCACTATGCTACCAGAGTACATCTATAGTTTCTTTCTAAAATCACTTTCTTATGGAAAATATTTCAAACAAGACTTATTATACTGTTTCCTTAGTGCTTTGCTAATATTGCTATATTGTTATAAAAGCAATCACCATCTTGTTTTGTGATTAAGCAATTTACCTAATCTATTTTATTGTCCTACTACTTTATGAACTGATCCAGGGCATAAACATAACTCAGGCACCTATGTCCTTATAACCCAGCACCACATGTGCACATATACACACACACTACAAATACACATATATATAATGAATGAAAGTACAAGACTTGAAATTTCCAAGTAGAGATTAATGAAAAAACAAATGTGAATTACTACATAAATTCAATTTTAGGTATATAAGACATTCTCTATTATTTATAATCTTCCTACAGTACTCAAATGAGTTAACAAAGAATTGTATTAATTTTAACTTCTCAAGATACAAATAGAGTAAGAAAACTAGCAGATGTTACATATCCTTATATGTGCATATACACAAAATATGAATAAATCCCTATTTTAAAGATTCATATATAAACTATCTCATATAAAGTGTTCCTTTAAATGTAGTTTTCACTTTACTATACTGCTACTTATTTATACTTACATTGTTCTATATAGGTATCCTAATGATTTTATATAAGTAAGTATATATTTTTATATATACACACTATATATGAAAGTATATATCTTTATATAGAGGCACACATACATGTGTGTATAGGCATATACTGAAAAATATATATACTTTTAGAGACATGTGTGTATACACACACTTATATACATATATCTTAGAAGCAAGGATGGTGAGACTTTGTCTCACATTTGACCTATGTTATCAGGAAAGACCAATCCCTAAGAAGGACATCATCCTAATAAAATAGAGGATGAGTGAAAAAGAGGAAAACCCTCAACATGACAGACAGAACAGTGGCTGCAACAACAGGCTCAAACCTAGCAACAACTGTGAGAATGACACAAGAACGGTCAATGCTTCATTTTATTAATACATGTGGTCACTGTGAGTCGAAAATGAAAGCACCTGATAACAACGACATATACTATATATAAATGGTTGCAGCAGTACATGCACAGGGAATTTCCAGAAATTCAAGCTACATTCAAAAAAGGACACAGAATAAGAGATATCATTGCTGATATCAGATGCATCTTGGCTGAAAGCACAGAACACCAGAAAGATGTTGAACTCCTATGTTTTATTGACTTTACAAAGGCACTTGACTGTGTGGATCATAATAAATTAAGGATAACATTGTGAAGAATGTGAATTCCAGAACATTTAAATGTGTTCATGCAGAACCTGTACATAGACCAAGAGGCAGTGATTTGAACAGAACAAGGGGATACAGTGTGGTTTAAAACCAGGAAAGTTGTACCCATGTTAATCACAGCACTATTTACAATAGCTAAAAGATGGAAAGAACCAAGGTGTCCATCAACTGAGGAATGGATAACCAAACTATGGTACATATACACAATGGAATACTATGCAATGCTAAAGAATAATGTAGAATCTGCAAAACACTGCATAACATGGATGAACTTAGAGGACATTATGCTGAGTGAAATAAGTCAATCACAAAAGGACAAATATTGTATTAGTCCATTATTGTAAAAGTCAAGGAAAGGTTTATCTATGGAAGGAAATTTTCTTTCTTAGTTACCAGGGGTGGGAGGGGAGGGAAGGGAAGGCTGTTAGATAGATAGAGATAAGTATTGATTTGGGTGAAGAGAAGGGCAATATACTAAATGTGAGTGACCAATATGTCAGCATTGAGGATGAGAAAGACATAGAGAGGTGCATGGGAGGTACAGACAACAAATATGAACCCTTTTGCACATACAGTAGTGCACTGTCAGTGAAGGCTAACATGGGTATATAGGTGGATAGATGGGTGGACAGGCTGAACGATTAGGTGTGTCTATGAAATGGGGAGTGTATCCAAGAACATATATATATATATATGATTGGCAAATGATGGTATATATATGATTGGCAAATGATGGTCCTATAAGTTTATGTGAATGATAAGAATTCCCAGGTGTATAGTAGAGCTGACAAG